AAACTCAGGTAAGCTAAGGGATGACTGCTGTAAGAATTGAACTAGCGAACTCTATCTGATTCTCCTCCGCCTTGTAACTGGTGGTCGTGAGGTAAACACAAGTTGTCCCTTAATAAGATCCCCAGCCTTGCACAGTCTTCCGACTTGGGTCCAAAGTACTTTGGGGATATCAGAACCTTCCAGAGCTATGGTTTTAAACTACCTAGCAAAAGAAATAAAGTAAAAGAGAAGCAATCGGAAACCATACAACACCTCAGCTAAGATGTTATCAACACTGACATGATCAAAGCTGTAGGACTTGTACTCCACACTGAAATCTACCCCAAAATAGATACCAACTTGCCACTGATATGAACCTTCTTGTACAGTCTCACTGTAAAGCACATACCAATTAAGAGAGAGCCAAAACACCCCTATGAGGGGGTAGGGTTATCCTGTTCTAGTTTTGTCATGAACTAGGGTTTCACTATTTCAAACAAGTAGTTTCATACAATCCTGCATTTAGGTGAGCATCCTGTCGTAGTTTGGAACAGTCACTATGGCTTTACTATATGTAGCTAGGCCAAATGGTCAAATAAGGATACCTCAGCAAGACTACCTAATATACCTCTCATACCTAACACCGAGAAGTGAAAAGCTCTCTCTCCTTTTCCAAAGCTAGGGTTTTATTTCATCTTCTTCATTGAGCTTGAGGTAGGGTTTTCCTTTGAGTTATATGTATGTTTATGCAAGTGTTTGTTGATTTTTTGTGAGCTTCTCCATGTATTTCGAAAATGGGGAGTAGGGCTCAAAAGATTGGTGATTTTTGTTTGAAGAAAACTCATCTCATTTCTCTTGAATGGGGTTTTTGTAAAAAGTTGAGTTTTATGGATTGAGATTGAGTTGTGCTATGAGTTTTTTTTTTTTTTTTTTTTGAAATGGAAAATGTTAGCGTTTTGTGAAAAACCTAAAAAATTTGGGGCTTTTTGTAAACACAAAAATTTCATGGTATAAAATCCCTTCTTGTGTTAAAATAGGTGAGTGAGTATGAGTTTCTCAATGTAGTAAGAAAAAGGAAGAAAAGTGATACTCCTCTTGTTATAGAGAGTGCATGACTCATTTTCGAACTATTGCTGGATGCATGAATATATATAATTTGTGATATGATAATTGTTGAATACCATGGGTTTGAGAAGTTAAATCTTGAAAGATGATGTGGTGAATTTCTTATAGTCTTGGAATGACTAGGAATGTTAAGAAGTTTACATGATGAGAAGTTATGGTTAGGTGTTGATAGTTTGGTTGAGAAATTGTTGTGGTGTGTTGAAGACACATGATTATTTTTGCGAAATGAAAAGGACATTTATTTATTATCACCATATAAACACTTGGCAATGGAGAAATACTAAGAGGTATGGAAAGAATTATTTCATTGTATATTACTTCATTTACCATTGTGCATTGTGAATCTAAATTGAAGAGATTTATATCATGAAGAAAATGTTATTGCAATGAAAACTAATGGTAATGTGTTATGGGGTAAATACATTAGTAAGTCCGGATAGGGAGTGTAGATGAATTTGATAAGTTGGCCTGAGTGACCAGGGTGAAAGACCCGAAAGCCGCGCGGATAGATGTCGAGCCTTCCGGTTAACACCGGTAAAAATGACAGTTTGGTAGTACTCGTAGAGTCTACTTGCAAACACCAGCATAGGGATTACCAGTGTCGTATTTACCGCCCCTTTGATGTGAAAGTGAAATTGTGGAAATTGATGAGATTACCTTGAAATGGCATGGCATAGCAATTGCATCTTTTAAACGTTGTGTATCTTGCATAAATGTATATACTTTGTTAAGGTTTCTCTACTGGACTTTATGCTCAACCCTTTGGGTTTTGGTGCAGGTAAAGACGTAGTGATTCCGCCAAATTAAAGGCCTGGACATGTTTTATAAAGAGTAGTTTACTCTTTATTTTGTTGTGAATTTTTTTTTTTTTGTAAAGCCAAGAGCTATTTGTGTATGGGCCCGAGAGGTCATTTTTGTGTAACCGGGGTAAGGGCAATTTACTTGTTTTGGAACTATATCCTTTACATGCTATAGATTTATGCATTTTCTTACCTATGAATGTATACACTGCATGTGGGACTTGTACAAACCATGGAAATAGATGATAAAAGGATTGGAAAATGGTTACATTTAATTAGTGATTGTAGCTTGGCATAGCATGTTGTGGGTAAAAGTTGGGGCGTGACAGAAAATATCACTATTTATTATTTTAATATACTATAGTCTTTGCATCAGTATGTTATCAAATATGCTTCAAATCATTATTCAAAGCAATAAATCTCAACAATGAACAAGATGTATTCCGAAGCAATATTCACGACGCAATTTCAAATCAAACTGGGACAATTTCAAATCAATACTCACGGATTCCATTGTTTTTTTTTTTTAATGATTCCAAAGCAATTTCCACAATGAAGAGTATGTACATGTAGGTCACCCACCACGAGGCACATCATTTTAGCAAAAGAAAATATTTTTTATTTCTTGTCATTATATAAAAAAAAAATTATTGAAATAATCTGTCATGATTTTGATTCCAGTATAAACTTGCTCTGATACCACATGTAAGATTATAGGATCTATATACTAGAAATCAAAACACTATGAATATAATTAATTTCTAAAATATAAACTTAAATACATACCATTTAATTCCGCCATTGTTTTGAGTTTTGCTTTCTTAAAAGAAGATGGTATTCACAATTGGAAAACCTTCTCCTTCTCCTATATTTTTCACGTTGTTTTTTCAATGGGACTAACAACCCTTTGATTTACATATATATAAATATAGGTAAACCCTAATAGGATAGGAGAGGGGACTCAGCCTAAACAATAGTTATTGAGCCCTCCCGTTAAGGAACCCAAATAAGTCAAACAAGTCTTACACCTCCATACCACATACTTTTAATAAATCCACTAAGATGGACCATGGCCCAAAACTTTATGAATCACAAAATCAATTTGGGCTCAAACCAGCCAGTTTGTCTGAATCACTTTCAACCCGTTTTTCACAAATCAAAATGAAACATAGTCAATGGCAGCCCAATTAAGAATAAATTCTTACAGTATATTGCCACGCTTCATCGATAAATTTTTACTTCATTAGCTAATATTATGTGTTTTTTATTATATTTTGGGTGGGTACTAAAAAGGGACCAATAATAAGAATAAACGAATAGCAGTGATTGCATCTGTATTGATCATTTTAGAAGTTCTTATCTTGAGTTTAATCAGCTGATATTTTCTAAGGAAGCAAACTATTCACTGGAGAGGAGGTAAATATTTTATCCTTTAATTTTTAAGAAAATTGTTCCATTAATGACCAATTGTTTCACATTATGTTTATTTGACAAATTTGATGAACTACACAAACTACAACCTTTGTAATCCAAGAGTCATTCCGATGTGAAGGAATACATATAGAAATTAGATATCACTTTACTATATGACAAGAATTTTTAAATCCACGAGAGAAATTTTTTAAGGAAGACAATCTCTTAATATTATTGATAAAAAAAAGGTTGCATTTTTTTCCCTTAAGCTTTGATAAGTATTTATAATAATCTAAGCTTTGAAGAATAAACAATCTAAAAATTAGGAAACTAGCCTAATTTTTGAAAAATAAATAACCTAAAATTAAGAAAACAAAATTAATGCAATTCTACCAAATTACAAGATTCTAATGAAATATTAACTAAAAATATAGTAACTTTTAAAATCTTGTCTCCTGTCAGGCTCCATTGATTAAAAAAACTTGTCATTAAATTTCAGTTACTTGCAAGAATTTTGCTTATTTGCATTTGCTTGCATCTGCATTGTACTTAACATTATTTTTCTCGAATTTAAATTTTAAAGAAAAGTTTTCTAAAATAGTCCACAACAAATATTATAATTCCAGCACACCCCAATAGTGAAGTTGTTCCCTTCTACACCACTAGTCAAAGCATCAATATTACCAATATGAGAACCCACCAATGCTGAACACTACAAATCTTGTAGAGACTCCTAAGCCTTGGATCAATGTATAGTGTTCTTAGAAGTTCTCAATTAAGCATTCAGTTGATGAATAAACCAGACTATACAAGTGGATCTAAGGGATTATGTTGTTAAAAGCTTTAGTGTCATTTTTGTTTTTTGTTTTTTTTGGTCTGCAAAATTAAGGATTTATTGATGAAAGGAGAAGTACAAGCAGTACAACCAAATTACATCAATAAGAATGGCTTAGGATAAAAATATCCCAACAAACTTGGCATATGCAACAAGCCAATTGTTGTTACAATACTCAACACTAAGCTTCTCCACCAAACTATAACAGAAGTTTAATTTCACATTTCAAATCGATCATTCTATCAAAATACAAACTCTACACTCTTTTAAATCCCCAAATCTCCAAATTTGTCTAAGATTGATCTTGAATTGAATTTTATATCTATTTCCTTTTCAATGTACGAAACCACAAAGTCTAAGAGAAATTATAAAAATAAATAAATAAATAAATAAATTTGAAGCATAGTTTTGATAATGTCTACATCTGAAAATGAACATTCCGTAGTCACTACAGGAAATATCTGTTTTAGAGGCATATTTATAACGGCATTTTTTAAAATGCCACTGTTTTTAATATTTAATGGCGTTTCTAAACGTCACATTTTTCTTTAATTAAAACGGCGTCGTTTCAGGAATAGAAGACGTTTATAAACGCCTTGAAATGGGTTTCGTCTCACACGCTCCTGTCTCGAAGTTCTCTCTAAAAATCGATTCAGATCGGTGAGCTACTCTCTCTTTCTCTCTGTGCTGTCTAAACCCTAATTATCTCAGAGATTCAGCTCTATGATTCAGAGATTCAGCTCGGTCTCAGCGAAACAAATCGATGATTCATCAGAGCCATTTCAAAGTTCTCTCTCGAAATCGAAATCAAAGTTCATCTCAGCGATTCAGATCGGTGAGCACCATTGTCTCTGTCTCTATCTGTCTCTCTCTTTCAAGCTGAACTGATGATGCAATGTCGATCTGGTTGTTGAAATCAATCCTATGAAATTCTATGAATGGTTTTGATATTTGAATGTTGATGCCCTGTTGTTTGCCATTGAACATGTTGATTGTTTGTTGGTTCATACTTTGTTTCTAAAAATATTTCATTTTATGCTGGGCTGGATTTCATTTTGTTCTTGTGAAATATTTATTCTCTAGTTGGGGCTGGATTTTTTTTTTTTTTAATATTGAGATATGCAGTGGAATTAGTGTTTTTAGATATATTAATATGAAATATTAGCAATTGCAAACAAAATTTCTCAAGCAATGAATTAAAATGCAAGGATGATGGAGTTCATGAATATATAATATGAAACATGGGCCATAATACTCCTACAAATGTGTTTAAGAGAAATTGTTCTAACAATTAGAGGCACCTTTCTAATACTATAATTTATACAGGCCTACCCTTATCCAAAAATAGATTCACCCATAGCTTGGTCAGTAGCTGTCTGGTCTCATTCAAGAGTCTAATCTCTTTGTGCTGCTGTATCAATCAATACATGAATCGTGAAATGAATAGTGAACTGAATCGCGAATTATAAGATTCTAATACCAGATTCCTCCACTATACTTTCCAGAAATTAATTGGCTCAATAAAATTGGAGCCATTAGCAGACCTAGTGAAATGTAATTGAAGAAATTTGATGTGTCTCTGCCCATTCTGTTTCAGCTGGTATGTATATGCTACTAAGATTTATTTACTTATGTGTGAAATAATTGATTTTTTTTTTTTTTTTTTGAATGGATTATAACATATGGTTCTTTTTGATGGATTAGCATTCAATAATATCTAAGTTGTTGGCATCAACTCTGTTCTACAATTGTTGCTTTTTTTTTCTTTAATTCTGCTTTCTTTTACTTTATAATGATCTTTTGCCTTTTAGGACTGCTTTCTCAGCCAATTGTACAAAATAGGAGAGTGAATTAGCATACTAAATGCAGAAATTGTGTCATTTTTGGTTTAATTGGTTTAAGTTGATCAAAACAGGTGTAATCATAGATATATGTAATTTGCATAAGCTGTAATTTTCTATATGAAGTTTTCATAGAATGTTGTAACTTCATACTGAACTGGAAATCAACTGCCTATTTGACTGTGTTGTATGTAGTTCTTGTACTTTTTGCTAGCAGATGTTCACCTCATGCTTTAGCATCCTATTATAATGTAAAACTTACTAACCAAATTTCTCTTGGGCATAATCTGGTTACCTTTTGTACTATGTCATATCCTACGCCCAGAGTGGAGATGCCTCCATCCAATTTGCTGGATTTGCCATGGTTTGCCTTTTTGTTGGCCTCATTGTTGTGGGTAAGTTTTGATTTTTCCCTAGTTTATGGTTGGTTTTCTAACTTTTTCACATTTTTCTTTCTGCAATTTCAAATTGAAATTTTGGTTGTCTTGTTAGGAAGAATTTACCTTGGGATGCACAGTTTGATTGATATCATAGGCGGTCTTGCTTTTGGATTGGCAATTCTTGCATTTTGGATTAGTGTTCATGAATACATTGCGATTTCATAGTTTCTGGGCAAAATGGTATGTATATTTCTGCTTACTACTTCAAAATATCAGGTTTTGTGTTAGATGTGAAAATATTGTTAGTCATTGTTCAACAGCTAAAATATATTGCAGGGCAGTAAATTGATCTTGTGAAAACCAAGGAGCTAGGCTTCTGAAAATTATTCACCCAAAAAAAATGCTTCTGAAAATCTTGATTGAGGTAATAAGTAGTCAAATGGCTGCAAAAGATGCTTTAACGGTCTACTTGGAACCTAAAAAACAAGCCATATTACAAGTGTGTATAATCGGCCGAAAGCCTTTCTCAGTAGTTCGAGTGGAGGTATAATTATTCTCACACGTCAATTAAAAGTCTTTTATTTTATTTTCTAAATTGCTCATACACTTTGCCATTTTGAGATTGAAAATCCATAAAAATTTCATGAAGTTTGAAAAAGCAAGTTTTGTAGTGTATCTTGTTAGTATTAATTGACTAACTTTAGTACAAATTCTAGTACAAATTCTGGATATATGTAGTATTATGATATGAATTAGAGAGCATCTTGTACTTCCAATGTTACATTTTTAGGCATGATCTTCTAGCCTTTTGGGATATGAAGGGGATTTCACAGTGCAATTATATGTCTCCGAAATTATTACTTGAGAATGTAGAGGAATTTCAGTTATATGATATGGGAATTTCAGTGGGTGGGTTATGATTATGATGATTTGAGAATTTGTGGTTGGATGTGCAAACAGTTGGTGAGTATAGGGGCATGGTTGTTAGAGATGTGCCAAGAGAGGTATGAAGTAAGAGAGAAGAAGAGTTCTAAGAAGTTTATTCTTTCTTCTTCACTTTTTTATTTAATAATAATAATTAGATAATTGGATAGATTTTCCTTGTTTGATCAAAACTCATTCTTTTATGTTTTTTTTATTGGCTTTGTATTTATTATTATTATTATGTTTTATGATTGGCAGAGACCGAGAGGATTGAAGGCCATGGGAAGCAGCATGGAGAGCGATTCAGAATGGCAATGAAGGATGGATGGGAGCTTTCCTTTGGATTCTTATTTCTCTTCTTTCTTCTTTTTTCCTCTGATCTGGCTGGGGGGTTGGGTGTTTTGGTTCACTTTCTTTTTATTTTTTGTGTTAAATGGGGGAAGGAGTGGTGAGAGAGAGAGAGAAGAGGGTAATATCATTTTGTGGCTTTGTATACAAAGTGGTAAATTTTTGATTGAGAATTGTGAATTCAATTTTTGGATATGTCATTTTGTGGATAATGGTGATTGAATATTAAATTGAATGGAAAAGTGAATTAATGTTGTATTTGCTATTTGAATGGGAGTTATTATTTCATATTAGTGTTATTCAGTTTTGTTACAGGTATTTTTTTAGTTTAATCACATAAAATTAGCACAATTTAAATTAAAAAAAGAGAGGATATAACGGTGTTTCTAAAAACGCCACTATCATACTAACGGTTGGAATTTTCAAAATAAAAAAAAAAAAAGATATGACAACGTTTTAAAAACATCGCTAAAATCATAGTGACGTCATAGTACTATTAGGGTAGGACATTTGGCGGCATTTTAACATCGTTTATACTAATATAATGATGTTTTTCAAATGCCATAAAGCTATAGTGATGGTTGCGTTGTCGTCGTTTGATACTAAATGTCACAAAAAGAATTAGCGACATTTTTTAACCTTAAAAAACGCCACGAAATGGGGATTTTCCTGCAGTAAGTTACGGTAGAAATCGGAAAAGTAAGCACAAGTATGATCACTTAATAAATAAAGAGGTAAATTGTTGATCTTCTAGTCCTAGCCAACAATTGATACAATTCAAAAATAGGTGATTGGACACTGTTCATCTTTAATTCTCAGGATTCTTCACTTCAAGGAAGAGATTTTTTTTCTCATATCACTTTCATTTTTACTTTCTATGTTTTATTTTTTTATCGAAAAGGAATATATTTCTCTTTGCACTATGGTTTTTAGTTGTATTTTGATCTTAGATTTAAGTAAAGATTTGTAAAGGAAAAGGAAAAAGGGCTGGAAAAAGATACCACCAACTCAAATCCAATATCCAAACAAAATGTAAAGGACCAATCTTCTAAACCTTTTATTTAGAATTAAAAGAATAATTTTAGAATACTATGTTATTATACCTCAAGTAGAATAACCAATCAATTACATCAAGTGAACAAATATAAAATTAATTAGGTCTTTTTTTATTAATTGCGTAAAAGCTAACACCTGGAATATGTATTAACTTGATTTAGAGTTGGGGTTGGTTGGGCAACACATATAGAAGTACTCTTTGGTCACCTATAATATATAATGGGATGAGCCTGAATCTAATGAGACAGAAAATTAAATATTGACCTAAACCTGTAAGATTGAAGGGGCTATCAGAGTGTTTTTACTTTTTATGTATCAAATATTTATTATGTAATTAAAATTTCAATCTTTACAGCTGAGAGACAGGATAATCAAAGCTAGAAGGTTTAAGACAATAACCAAAGAAATGTGGACGAGGAGGACCTAAAGTTACTTTTATTTGATTTGGCCACCATTTCAATTGCCACTAATAACTTCTCCTTCACAAATAAGATTGGAGAAGGTGGTTTTGATTCTGTTTACATGGTAATTTTTCATAAATTATATGAAGTTAACAAGAAAATGCTCATTGTGTTTGAATTTAGGCATGGTAAATTGCTTGCATTTCTTGACTTGTTGACTAATATCAAAGTTAATGATAAACCACAGGGTCAGCTCCCAACTGGATGAGAAATAGCAATTGTGAGAATATAATTGTATATATTTTAGGCATGTTTGTGGGTATATTAGGCATAATTGTGTATTTATTAGGCATGGTTCTATATTTTCTTTTTGGTTTAGGCTTTAAGGTTAGATAAACTAAGGTCTTGATATAATTGAAATACAAGTTGAATACACAACATTCTTCAGAAACTTACATGGTATCAAAGCAGGTTGAGAAACCCTACCGTCGTCGTTCTCTCTCCTTCTCTCAGACCTGGTTGTTGATCGAAGCTCTTTGCTTCATCAATCGTCAGTCGTGAATCTTCTCATTGGCTCAATCTGGTTCACGATCTCTTTCTTTCTCTCAGACCTGGTTGTTGGATGAAGCTCCTTGCTTCATCAATCGTCTGGTTAGGTCTGATTCATCTGATTCATAGCAACTATTCGACTCATCTAGCCGACTCAACTGGTCGACTCATCTGTTCGACTCGTCGTCTTCTCTCCCTTATTCTGGTTCACGAAGGTCTCTCTCTCTTGCAGTTGTGTCAGCTTCAGGTTCTCTCACTCCTCTATTTTGGTTCTCTTGGCTCCGTATGTTAACTGAATTATTGACATATCTCAGTTTGGCTCTTCAATTTTTTGTTTATTATACTTTGACCCATCAATTCTATAACTTTGCTTTATTATAATGGACACTAAAATTCAAGCCATTAAATGCAAACTCACTAGTGACAGTTATGCCTATTGAGCCAACGTTATGAAGAATTTTCTTCTTGGTGAAAAAAAAAAGGAGTTATGTTTCTAGTTCTATTCCTTGGCCATTAGACTCAAAGGCGGAATGATATTTTACTTCCTGTGATACTTGGGATTGTGATAATGCCCAAGTTCTGACCTGGTTTCATAATTCTGCAGATGATCACATTGGAATGATCTTTTCTAAATACAGTACTGCCAAGGAGGTATGGGATTATTTACTGGGTGTTTTGAGTGCTCGTCAGCGAGATCAGATTATTCAAGATTTCTATATTGAGATGGTAGGTCTCTGGGATCAATTGGCTCTCATGGAACCACCTAGCCTCAAGGAACTAGACACTTATGTTGAGTTTCAAGAGCAGGGTCGTTTACTGTAGTTTTTAATGGCACTTTCCCTTCAGTATGAGACTACCACGGTGGCATCCTTCATCAGTCTCCTCTGCCTTTGTGGATGCTATTGTTCGTGAGCGCCTCTCTGAGGAAACTCGTCTTAAGATGGCCAGTCAGATTCTACCTCCCTGTTTTCTTGGCTCCTGCTAAGCCTCATTTGTTATCAACCCCTTCTCTTCATCAACTTTAGGCCATTGCAAAGCCCAAAAAAAGGCTATTAGGTCTAGATGAGTGTGCTTTCTGCCACTAGAGGGGTCATTAGAAATACAACTGTCTCAAGAAGGGACGTCAGCCTGCTCCGTTCCAGCCACTTTAGATACAGCTCTGTAATCCTGCTCCGAGTACTTTCCGGCCTCCTACTGCTTATACTATATCTACTCCGACTTCAGATCCTGACTTGACTTCCTTGAGTGCTCAGCTTGCTCAATTTTAACATATCCTGCAGAAATGGCAATGGGGCGGGGCAAGGCCTGGAATCACACTCCCCGTTCCTGATCCCTGATTGTGAAAATCTCCCCGTCCCGGCCCCGATCCCCGACAGGAAACCTATCACCGTCCCCGTCCCCGTCCCCGTTCCCGTACGGGGATCGGGTTTTCCTGACCCCAAAAATTTCTCGGTCCAAATCTGTTTCAACAACACCATCAACAACATCATTAAAAACAATATCATCATCATCATCATCCCCAATTGTTTCATTTTCAACATCAACATCAACAAAATCATCAACAGATCCACTAAGAAAAAAGAAAGACAGATAGAGACACACACACATACATGTATACATACATACACAAACAGATATGAGATCTGAGATATGTGTATCTATGTCACAAAAAGAGAGAGAGTGGATAATCGGCGGTGATAGACGACGGAGGAGATCGGAGGAGACGATGCTGGACGGAGGTAATGGTGACTGCGACGAATGATGGAAGAGATCAGCGGCAATGGACGACGGAGAAGGACGACGGTGACTGGGACGAATGAGAGTGGACGATCGACGATGACAACGGAAGCGATGGATGACTGTGACTACGACGGCGGAGGAGGATGATCGGCGTCGCTAACAGTGTCGATGACGCTGAGGAGGAGGAGAGGTACGAGAGTGAGAGAGAGAGAGAGAGTAGAAGGAAGAGAGAAAGAAAGAGAGAAAGAGAGAGAGAGAGAGAGAGAGAGAGAGAGACAGAGAGACAGAGAGAAGTGAGATGATGATGAGGGTTTGGTTTATATATATATAGAGGGGTAAAATAGTAATTTCACTTCGGGGACAAACGAGGACAGGCCGGGTACGGGGCTGGACACTCATCCTCGTCCCCAGCCTGAAACTAATTAGGGATTGATTTTTGAATGCCATCTAGAAATGGCAACAAGGCGGAGCAAATCGGAGATCACCCTCCCCGTCCCCGATCCCCGAAGGCACAAAAGTCCCCGATCCCCAGCGGGGAACCCATCACTCTCCCCACCCCCGCCCCCTAACGGGGATCGGGGATCCCCAACCCCAAAAAATCCCCGTACACAAACAGCTTCCACAACAAACAACAATAACCCCAACAGATCAACAACCACAACATTACAACCCAAAAAAAAAAATGGACAGATCTGATACACACACACACACACACATACATGTATACATATATAATAGATGAACCAAAAAAAAATGATACTGATACACACTCACACACATACATACATGTATACATATACACAGATCTGTGTGGATCGCGCACGGATCCATGTCGATCGACTCAAATTTACGCCAAAACATGGCTGAAATTGCGGTGCTACGGCGAGAGAGAAATGAGAGAGGAGGTACTACGACGGTGCTACGATGGAAGATGGAAGAGGAAGTGTTCCGACGGAGGACGGTGGAGTGGCTGTTCTTGAGGATGGAAAAGGAAATTGTACGGTGGTACTGCGACGGAGGACGGCGGAGCGGCGGTTCTTGAGGATGGTGACCTTAGCGATGGTGGAGACGCACTGGATCTGGTCTGGATCGACATAGGTTTGAGAGAGTTAACAAAGAGAGAAAAACGAGAGAGTGAGAGAGAGATGAGAGTCATTTGAGAGAGTTGAGAGAGTGAGTTGAGATGAGAGTCAGAGAGAGATGTATATGAGAGAGAGAGAGAGAGTTATATAAATATAATACAACTAAACAGATATATAAATATAATACAACTAAACATATAAGCAGTATATACGTGGGGATCCTTCGGGGAAATGTCGAGCCAGGGCTGGGGCCGAGAAATTTATCCCCGTCCCTGGCCCGAAAATCATTAGGGATGCATTTTTCAATACCAGCCCTGGCCCTATATGGAATAATTTTTGGGGAAAAACCTATTTATCGGGACGGGGCAGTTCGGGTCCCCGTCGGGCCGGGTTCATATTGTCATCCCTAATACCATCCC